ATGAAAATAAACCAGAAATATATATATTTCCCACATCTTCAATGACATAATTATGTGTTTAATACTATAAATGTTTAATATGGTAAATTGTTTAATACTATAAATTTTGCTAAATTGACATTTTCCATAAATGTTCTTTTGTAATACTATTTCACACAATAATCATGTGTATATATGTATAACAATGAATATATATTTATATAGTATTTTAAAATTATTGCATAATGTTTCATTTGATGGTCACATCATAATCTTTCCCTATTGACGAACATTTAAATTGTTTGAGAGTGTTCATGACTATAATAACACTAATAAACATCTTTTCTATTCAATAATATAAACCTTTCCTTTTTTTTTTTTTTTTTTAGTTCTCGGCGGACACAACATCTTTGTTTGTATGTGGCGCTGAGGATCGAACCCGGGCCGCACGCATGCCAGGCGAGCGCGCTACCGCTTGAGCCACATCCCCAGCCCATCTTTTCTATTCTTGACTCATTTATTTCTTCAAATTAAATTCTTAAAGTGGAAATGCTGGTCCTAAGCATAAGAATTTGAGCTTTTAAAATTTCTTTCAAAGAGGCTTATGCCAATTTACATTCCCTTTTGCAATGGTTTTCTGAGCCTTTCTCCTCATATGCTGTCTCACAGACTAGTATACAGCAAACAAGTGTGCCAATTTGAAGACAAAAATGTCTCATTGTTTTAGTTTGCACTTCTTTAATTTACTTCTGAGTTGAAATATCTTTCTGTATACTTGATACTGGCCATTCATTTCTTTTTTTCTTTTTACAACATGCTTATTCCTACTCTTTGCTTCTTTTTTATTTTTCACACTGGTTTACAATCAGGTTGCTTTGCAGGTGTTTTGTTCTTAATTTTTAAATTTTGGACTAATTTTTAAGACTAACAAAATTTATAAAAATAGCACATAGAGTTCTTATATGTCCTTCACCAGGTTCCATTAATGTGTTAGTCTTATATAATCACAATACAATTAACAAAATCAGGAAATTAACATTGGTACAATACTTATTATCTAAACTATAGGCATTATTTAAATTTCATCAGTTTGTCTGCTTACTTCCTTTTTCTGTTCCAGTATCCAACTCAAAATCCCATAATGCATTTTTTTGGCTGTTATTTCTTTCATCTTTTCCATTCTTAGCTTTTTTTTTTTTTTTTTTTTTCTTTCATGACCTTGACACTTTTATTCTATTAACTTTTATAGGATGTCCTTTAATGTGGGTTTATCAAGTGTCTTGTCAGATTGGTATGAGGTTATGCATGTTGGGCAAAAAATACCAACACAGTGATAGATATTCTGCCAATTGCAACGCATCATTCCAAAGGCTTCATAGTGTTGATATATGCTGCTACTGGTGATCTTATCGCCTGGTGAAAATCTACTGGATTTCTGCACTGTAAAGTTTCTGTCTTTCTCTTTTTTGTTAACATATTTTCCAAGGGTAATTCTTTGAGATTAGGCAGTTTCTCCTTGGTTAGTTAAATTCTAACTTCAAATTTAATAAATTCAAGCTGGAACATGAATGTAAATTACAGATGGGATTGTTATAAGGCAGATATTTAGGATAACAATTACTGGGCCCATTCTCAAACAAAAGTATTTCATTTTTTAAAAAGATCACTGAAAAAAATGTAGATGTACATGTTTTAAAACAAAGTGAAACTTTTAAGGTATTTATTATATTTTAATAGTGTCATACTTTTGCTGACCTCTTGATTGTGTTTGCTGGAAAAACTTCTAATATATAAGTAATTTTATGTAGTATTTCTTGATTAAAACCTTATATCTGTAGAAGTTCATTCGAAGAAATATTAAATAATGAAAGAATTGTGACTTTCTGTTTATTTATATTAGATCAATTAAAATATTACACATGTTGATATTGCAATATTCTTTATTACAATCTCATATCCCTGAAAATGAGCAATAACTTCAGAGAAATATTTCATTTGTCCAGAAAAAAAGCTACACTGTTTGAGTACTAAGTTTGCCTCTTATTAGTCTCATAACCTTGGGCAAATCAGGTCACCTCTGTAGATCTCAGAAGTGCTACCTGTCTCATGGGGCAAGAATAACTGATAGAGTGCTGGCCAAAGAAGTTTATAAACTACAAAACAATTAACCCAGGCAAGAGGTATTAATACTACTATTATCTTTTATTAGTCCTTAAAACCATTCTTGGAGGTAAGTGTTGGTTACTGTGATACCAGTTTTGTTTCTAATGGATAAAGGATGATTATGAAGAATATGGCATGTGCTATAATGCATTTTGTTTTGTAATATACAGTATTGCATTTGATTCATTTCTGTATTATTTTCCTGGCACAACTTCCTACTACACTTTGAGAGACAAGGAATGAGCTGCTTATCTAGTGAAGATTTATAGCACAGGGATTCTACAGTCCTGGGAAGATGTCATTGGCAGTGTAAATAGCAAGGTTAACATGGTTGTTTACAAAATAAATACAAACTTCAGTTAGTATTTCATCTTGAAAACCAGCTTAAGCGCTCTTTAGATAACCTCTTATAATTGAAGTCTTTTTATAAGCTTGGCCTTTATATTGAGTTTTGTCAAATTCAAGGTCAGGCAGAAATTCTAACATTAATCGGTTCAAAATTGTGGCTATTGTCTTCTTATGAAATATACTAGCTGTTGCTTGCCTTTCTATCATCTTCTCTTTTCTTCTTATAGCTCATATGTGTAGTTTTTTTAAAATAATTTCATTAAGTTGAATTAGTCACAGTAGAAAAGAAGTTCTTGCCTTTTGGTTAGTGAATTTCTTCTGACTTATTATATCCACAGTCAAAAGCAGTTCATTCTGATTTGATAAATGCATTGAAAGTATCTGAAATTGTTTCATCCTTTTTCTTTCTTGCCTTTTCATCTTTTAGAGGAATCAAATGAAATATCCTCTAGCTTTCCTAATCGAAGTTGTCTGCTCTGCCCTGGTGTTAAAAATGCATGTTTCAATAAGTATTCCTGTGTGGCAGTAAGTTCTCCAGTCTTTCAAAAGTATTTTATACTAAAGTTTTAGAACAAGACCTCGAAGTCAATTTTTAAGTTGTGTGTTTATTATTAGCAGAGATATATTATATACCTTGTGTACTACATATTGTATATGTTACTAAATATACATCTATCAGAATGATTAAGATAAGTATTGTTTACTAGTTTTTCAGGTAGGGCACAGATCATGGTACCCTTTATTCCTGCATTTTTCTAACCATTATCTCAATGCTAGTACACATTCCCGGAATTGTGATCTAAAACATCATTTCAATTTTAAGATGTCCCATAGCTTATCATTAACAGCTTCGAAGCAATAACTTGACATTGCTTGCTTTCAAGATCATTTGTTAATAATTAGAAGGACATTAATATTTGGGGTTAATATTCAACATTGCATTTTTACTTTGAAATTGTACTGCTTGTACAAATCCTCATTGCCATAATTGCTTTCTATTTTGTTCTCAAGAAACTTTTAATTCACTTTTGGAGTCTCTTTTCCCCAGAAACAGCTCCCCCTTTTATCATTATATCACGATAATCTCTTCTATGATAATTTTTAAATATTGTACAGTCATTAGAAAGGAGAATCACATTGTTGAAATACATACAGCAGTACCAAGTGCAGTCTGGCTCTCCAAATGACTTGTTGAGAATATGATGACAGGACAACGAATGAATGAAATATAGCACCTCTTTCTGTACTTGAACAAAAATGAGAAAGAATTGAAATAAAGGTGAGGTAGCACTTTGAGAAGACATGCACCTGTCATCTGATGATGGACAGATAGTGAAGAGCTGACATATCATTCAGGGAAGCCAGGTCTACACTTTATAACCTGATACTGGAATTATACAAGTTCCTGAATGTTAGAAGCTTAGATTCATTTTAAATGAAATTAATTTCATTGGATATTTCCTATATCCACAAGGAAACTAGATTACCCACAAATTGTTACATGAAATTAAAAAAATGTAAATTAAAAAAAATTAGAGTTAGTTGGACAAAATGTGCTTTAAAGATTCTTTAAATTTTGGAGTATACAATATTGCCCTGCCATGCTCAACTAGCTTTTATTTGAAAGTATGGCTCAATACAAATACATAAAATTTATTAGCAAATTAATTAAATATGGCATCTACTACATGTCAATTACTGTCTTAGTACTGGGGATACAGAGATAAATAAGACCTGCTTCTTGTCCTCAAGTGATACGGCATATATGGGGGGGGGGGAATTGGATAGTATTCTCTTTTTCAGAAAAGCAAATGTGATGGAATCTTCCAGATCTGTAAAATGTAAGTCCTTTGTTCTTTAGCATTCAAGCAACTGGGACACAGACAATGGACTTTTCCATTAGGCAATGAAGACTGTGGTTGCAAAATTGTAAGATGGTGAAAGGGGTCTATAGCAGTGATATCCTAAAAATCCCACAAGATGGGGATATTTCCTGTGTTTCAAAAGAAAGTAGTGACTGAGACCATTTGCACAAGGGACTAAAGACAAAAGGACATGACATGTTTTCTCCGGTGTTATGAGTCCCCTTCACCCCAAGTGTTCTATATTTTGAAACAACCTTCGAAGGGCTAAGACAGAAACACTAAGGAAGGCATTTATTCCCCCTCTCCCTCATGCAGCTCAAAGCTCTGTTATACCTGTCCTCTCGTCTGTGCCATACATTGCATTGGCATTAGTGTATGGAAAGCATAACTATACTTTTCTGTTGCTCCAAGCTTTCTTTTTGACCTAGGCAGGTCAGGTTAGTTACAGTGTGGGCTTTGGAATCAGAAAGACATAGTTTGAAGCGATGGCTGTGTGACCTTGAACCTGGGCTTCAGTTTTATCACTTGTAAAATTAGGGTACTAATACGAATTTCTTAAGTGTTTAAGAACTAAATGAGATAAAGTATATGAAGCACGTATCACATGAAAAGTACTTAATAAACATTAACTTTTTTTCCCTTTAGGAGAAGCATTTGACCATTTTTACTTCCAAAACTTTCTTCTGGATGCCAGTTGCACACAAGTAAACTAAAGAGGAGTAAGTGTGTCTGTAAGTGACTTATACCTATTTATTCCTGTTCTGAATAATTGAGCCAATGGAACTTGGAAATGAAATTTTCCATAGATAAACTTTGCATGATTAGCAACATGTTTTTAGACTAAACTATGTGTGTATGGGGGTGGGTGCTAGAGATAGGTGTTTCTTACAATAAATATTAGCAACCAAATAAGTGTGACTCTATGGTTGCTGAGTTTAGCCAACTTGAATTCAACAGGATGCATGTGAGGCATCAATGAGGCAATCCAGGTAAAATATTTAACACAAAGTCTGGTGCATGGTAGATGCTCAGTAAAAAGTGAAGATTCTTTTTTTGCTATCGTTCTTTTTAAAAATCTGTTCTAATTTGTTATACATGACAGCAGAATGCATTTTGACACATTGTACACAGATGGAACACAATTTCTCATTCCTCTGGTTGTACACAATGCAGAGTCACACTGGTAGTGTAATCACACATGTACATAGGGTAATAATGTCCATCTCATTCTACCATCATTCCCATACCTACACCCTCTCCCCTCCCCTCACTTCCCTTCTGCCCAACTATGTGGTTTTATTGGTTCATCAGCCACAGGTTTCCCAGTTAAATTTTTTTTCTTAGTGTTTGTATTATTTTTGTAAGTGCCAAAAGAATTTTAGAGACCCCCTTTCTCTTAATTATGATAAAATAATGCAATCCTCATAAAAATGATTATTTGTGCAAGTTAACTACTTTTTTTGTAAATATGGTTTTTCCTTTTGTCACAAAATTATGATACAGTGTAATGACACATGATACTCTAAAGTGTGGAATGCAAGGGTGTGGCTTAAACATTTAAATAAAAAATTTTTCAGTGTTCTCACTAACTCGGGACAGTAGCTGGCTTTAAAATGAGAGAGTTTGCAATTGCAATTGGGATTCAGAGAATATATTTTAAGAATGTCTTTTAAGGAACTCATTTTATTTATTTTTTTGGCCAGAAGATGAATTATGCTGCTGAGTTTTACCTGAGTGGTGAAATGAACCATCTAATTCACTTCCTGATATAGTTGGCTATAATAATGTCTTTTGTTGCAGTACACTTCATATATTATAAAGAACATTCACATTCATAATCTCATTGGATCTTCTTAGTCCTTGTTACAGTAAGCAGGCAAGTGGTATTGTGGCCATTTTGCCCATGGGGAAACCTGATCGTGTCCTTTCCCTGCTGAAAGTCCTGAAAGGGTTTCTGATTGCAACTAGGATAAAGTTGAAAACTATCACTCCAGCGCACAGAGCCCTGTGTGATCTGGCTTTCTGCCTCATCTCCTGTGTTACCTCTCTCTTCTTGCTGTGTAGCCTTTTAGTTCCATGAAACCAGTAAGCTTCTTCCTTTGTTAGAATTTTCAAGTATAGAAGTCCTACTGCTTATAAGTCTCTATTTTTTTTAAAATTTATTTATTATTATTTGTTCATTTTAGATATTCATGACAGCAGAATATATTTTGACATGTATACATATATGGAGCATAATTTATTATAATTAGGATGTTGTTCTTTTGTCTGTACATGATGTGGAGTTTCACTGGTGGTGTATTCACACATGAACATAGGAACGTTATGTCAGATTTATAAGTCTCTTTCTCTCTCTTCCACCTTGAGATTCACCCAGTTCTTTGGGTCTCCACTTAAATATGGTTCCTCCAAGAATCCAGGTATCTTAGACAAAGGGATTGCATGCTGTTATATACTCTCAAAACACCTTGGCTTTTTTCAGAACATGTATCATAGTTATAATTAAAATAATCATTTGTGTCATTACTTATTTAATGTCTACTGTCACCATTAGACTCTAAGCTTCATGAGGATTGGGGCTGCCTACCTTATTCACTTTATACTCAGAGTCAAGTACAAATTCTGAAACATACCCAGCACTGAGTGGTATTTATTAAATGAATAGATAGAATGAACTATACAAAGTCATGAAAAAAATAGAACTAAGGAGTCTATATTACTGGTTCAGTAGTTTTTCTACTATACTAAGCATATAAAGCAGTAGATTTGTAATATTGGCAAAGTGGAGTTTTAAGAATTTGTAAATATTTCTCAGTAAAAAGGCATAAAGCCTGAATGGAATAGTAGGCAATGAATTTTTATCATTCCATGAAAGAAGAATGATGTGAAAATGTAACAGTAATGTTGATTTCATAGAATGGGAAAATATATTTACAAAGTATTGAAACAGCTGCTTAAATAAAGAGTGGCAAAGATATAGAGTATAGGTATTTATATGGTCTAGTGACTTTTAATGTTTTGCTTTGAGTTTTTCACTTGGACAGTTGAAAAGTTTAAATTCTTAAATTGTGGGTTGAGCATTAGGGTAGCTGTGTGAGTTTTGTTTTTCGAAACTCTTCTTAACTCTTGTGTTATAAAAGCCTTTGCTGTTAAAGAAAATATATCATTGCTCACTCTAAGTACAGCTGTTACAGGTCCGATTTCCTGGAAAGAAAATTCTGAGATTAGATATAGAAAGTTTACTGGGGAGTGGTTCTTGGATCAACACCTGTAGGGAGTGAAGAATACAGAATGGGGCAGAATGAATATTTGGGTTGAGTTTTTTTTTTTTCCACAACAGAGACCCCCACCTGCCCTCAGGAGCTCTAGAACTAAAATGGCCTCTGGCTAAGGACTGTTAGCCTTTCTACCCCTGTATTGAGCATTGGTTGCCTGCAAGTGGCCTTGGGAAGCGACCAGGATATTGGGGAAGTGACTTTCTTTAGCTGAGGGCAATATCTGGAGGAACAATTAACTGTGAACTGTCCATCACTATCGAAGGCTGAGGAATGAATGTTCTGGCCTGAATTGAAAGGATGATCTGGCAAGCCCACTAAAATAGCTAACAAAGTCCACTGCTTGTGCTGTTCAGATCAGCTTGCCCTGTAAAAGGTGGAGGATCAGTTCCTTCAGTGTTTTCGTGGGCTTCTCATCTGGATGAAAATGTTCAAGGAAAAGGTTAGCGGGATAAACCACAGCCCCCACTGCTGAAGCTGATCTTGATGAAGCCGGACAGAACCCAGGCCATGATGGGCAGTCCTGACAGCAGTTACTTGCTGCCCTGTGGCCAGGGACTCCATTTTTACCAAGGCCTTGGAGCATGCCAAGAGCTATGTGTTTTGAAGGTATCTTAATTTTCCACTGCTGATGGTATACATTTGCTTCATTATGATTCTCATATTGGGGGTGACCCAAAAAGCCATATGATATCTTTTTCCCCCAATAATGCCAGTGAACTCACGGGGTCTGTTGTGTCCTATGGCCCAACATAGGGCAGAATGGCTTGCGTCTGGACCTGCTGCAGATCTGGATCTTGGCTGCCCTCAGAGATGGCAGCCTTTCATGTTTTCTAGAATATGGGTCAGAGCAATATTCCCAAATGTGGACCATGCTTCCTCCAAAAGTTAAAGAACTTGCAAGACATTTGACTATTTTGTTGTTGTTGTTGTTGTAAGAGGTGGGAGATGCAATAATTTCTTTATTTTAAGAGAATATCCTAGAATGATCTAAGACCACTGGACCCCAATATTTTTACTAATATTATAAGCCTTTTAATATTTATAGAGTTTATCTTCACATCAGATTGTTAAGCTTTTTATAATGGTTCCAATGTAATTAGTCGTCTTAATATTTTGGTGCAGTTATATATCATTGAAATGGAGAGGGGAGCAATGTGGAATCTGCAACCTGGCAACATGATCTGGTCTCTGTATGCCATATTATGATACATGCCTTTGAGGGGACATTCATTTTAAACTAACAATTACATGCATGCTTGCTGTGGTGTTGTGGGCACCTTCCTCCTGGGGGCCTAGCACCTCCTTTAGTCGGTTAGTTTGGGTCAGAAAATTGACTCAGGTCCAGAAACTGGGCAAGGAATTGTAACTTTTTATATGCCCTCATCCCTCTGATTATATATCTCTTTTTTTGAGGGGTGATGGTGGTGCTGGGGTATCAAGCCCAGGGCTTCAAACATGCTAGGCAAGTAACTCAATCATTGAGCTACAACCTCAGCCCTCTAATTTCTCTTGGTTACATAGATCGGACATACTCTTCTTGCTTACCCATCTGTCTTTCCCCTAGGGATGCTAAGTTCTGTTAATCATTGCCATAGTTTTCTGTGGATCAGACTTTCTGCCTGCCGTGCCAATCTCACTGTTGTATCCACTTGACTTCAGATGACTATGTTCTGCTATTTGGTCTCTATCATTATAGGATCCTAATCGTTCTGTCTGCCAAAAAAAGGGTTGAGTTTTATTCTAGGATTTCTTACTGTCAGCCCCACCTACAGAGGACAGTCACTGCTGTACCAAGAGCCACTGTGTTTCTTATTGTTTTGGTAAATCAGTTCCTGTTGGTATTCCAGGAGGTCAGATTCAGCTGGCGTTTTTTCATGCTTACTTAGAATATATGCTCTAGCACACCCATTTTTTCTAAGCCTTTTAATCCTTCTTCTCCTGTCTGCCATGACAATTGTGGCATTTTTAGTATTCAAAAAAATTTTAAAAAATCATCCTTGAAGTACATAAACATGTTTTTTTCAGAGTACTTGCTAGGATGCGTAATCCCAACGGAAAGCTCCCAAATCCAAAAGTTCTTTTTTTATCCAACTTCATGTTCCATCTCCCTTGATCAGGGACTCTCAGAATCTAGACCACATATAGTTTTTTTGTTGCCTGCTAGTTCACATTGGCCAGATCCTGTAGTTCCTTCCAGGTATCAACATTTACTTTTCAGTAGGTTCAGGACAACTTCGGTTATGTTTTATTGTGACTTGGTACTAGATAATGTTGTGTAACAAGGGAGACATGGGGTGTAGGTTTCTATGTTGTCTTGCAAGGCAGGGGAATTAGTACCTTCTTCAAGCACAGGAAGAGGGTGTGCTAGATTTTCACATGGAGAAGTGGGTCCTTCCTGCAAGTTCAGAGAGTGCAATACAACCTGGTGATTCACAATTTTTTGAAGATATGTC